TCATAGAACATATATAGTATCCATAATATACACTCCCAGGCTTCTACTTGGGGCACTGTGTGTTTTGCATATAAAAATATTAAGTAATGCTTTTGACAGCCATGTAACAGAGTACTAAAGAAGTAAGTTACACTTACCGCACATAGTGTTTTTATAGCCAGCTTTTTCTTCCTTGGTGGATCATGCCTTCCATGATGATTAGTGACATCGAACCTAAATGCCCTGTTCAAATTATTTTAGCAAATACAACTTGTTAGTATCCAAAAGTGAACGTTACAAGTATGTATACAAACATATAAGCTAATGAGGATTGTCGATATGTATATGTCTTGAGAATTGATATGAAGTCTTTGTATGTCACCGTGTCCCTATCTAATGAATCAAAGACCCATGTCATGCTTCTCCCGACATCAACGGCTATACAAATCCAGTGGTTACTGCATGGATTTAATCATAGAACTAGATAAGCTCTTTTGCATCGAATAAAATATATCGAACAAAGCTTTAAGTATAGAGTTGAACTTACTCGAAGTTGTATGGTAGCCATATAGTAGAGTGTTGTTGGAGATTTTTGAAAGCCAGGGCAATGTATGCCGCAACCTTAAGGGACTCTTCCCTTAGTTTCGCCGTACGGATGCGCTCTTTCTCCCAAAGAGTCTTTGCAGCAGCTAGCTCTTTGGCATCCAGTGTCCACCGTTTAGGGTAATTAAAATTTGTTTGGGTTATAGCTTGAGGGTCTACATACCCGACTTTCACACTTGGCATTTGTTTGACAATGTGCACTTGCATTCTACAAATCACGGCGTGGGTTAGTTACAATAAAATTCAAAGATTACATTCATATCATATCGGGAGGACAAGGACTTACAGGCACCACGTGCGAATTAGATTCATCTCCATTTCTCCCAGGTGAAAGCATGTGTGCATGTCATTGAAGTCAAAGACAATTTTCCCGGCTGGGCTTCTAAATGTGCTGGTGGGGAAGCATGCTTGTATGAGATCTATGCTCGTTGGGAGAACACGCAAGTACCAATCATGGAACCTTCTCATTTCAAGTGGTAGGCGCTGGATGTCCCGGTTTGGTAATAAGGGCTTGCCTCTTTCATATGTTTTCAGGCAATCCTTTGACCATTTGATGGCATCAACATTTGGATACTGCTTTGCAATTTGGTGGAGTTTGCTAGTGACGGCCTCCTCAGAACCCCGTGATGGGACTTATTTAACTTGGTTCTCAGGCTTGAACTGGTCATGGGAAAACCACTTGGACACCGACGAGACGTCTTTGATCGGAACATAAACTGGCCTTATGGTGATTGGATGCTTCTTTCAAAGTTTCCATCCAGGCACATCCTCATCTTCTTATGCATTACCTTCTTCAGGAGGCACTCGTTGTTCATGTATCGGCTGTGCTTGTTGAGAAGACTATGGTATCTCATGATGCACTTGCTCGGTACGAGCTGGAGAAGGTTGTGGCATCTCATCAGGCACATGCTCGCTAGGAGGCGGGGAAGAATGTAGCATCTCAGGAATGTGGGGGTCATGAGACCGTGAAAATATCTCTCCGACCTCAACAACTCGGTCCAAATTTGGGAGAGAGGGAGACGGCGAAGAAGCAGTCAATATAATGTCCTGTTTGTGCCAGAGGATGAACTGCCCCATAACGTCTCCGAGTAACACCAGCCCCTCGGGAGTTGCGTAGTCTATCCTCCACTGCATGAACTCAGGCTTCACTGTATGCACCTCGACCCTAGTGTAGTCCAGTGGTATCTTATTATTGTGGTGTAAGCCACCGGGAGGATGTGCCACACCCGTTGCCACCTCCATCATAGTGTTATGTCGGCCACTGAGAAACACCAAGGTGCAACTAGTTGGTTCCCGTATGCGATCGACGGGGGTTGTGGCTGCAGTGGAACCTTGGCTGCTAGGAACTTTCGGAGGGCTGCCAACTAATGCCGCCTCCCATTGGCGTCACTAATATCCGTGGCTCAGTGATGCAGTCCTTGCTCCTCCAAATAGCCTTCACAACTAGACTCTTCACTTGGAGCTCAAGACTAGTCTCCGGTCTCGCCATGTTTCTTGTACATGTGCCTGTCCTCTTCAATCCTTGCTTCCGTGTCATCCTTTTCCCTAGCCCCTAGTGCGGCTGTGTGCTCCTTGTTTCCCAAGCCAAGGCTAAGCTCGTCCCTCTCTCTGGAAGGATTGAATGAGCCCTTCTCCTTGTCTTCAAGATATTTCAAAGATCCTTGATATCGCTTTTTGGTCTCCGGCTTATCAAACTTAAGATTACCGCCGGATGATTCTCAGACTCCTCGCATATATCCGGTTCCTTGAGCGTACCTTCAAATTCGTCACATCGATATTCCCAAAGAATGCGCCCTCTTCGTCCATCTTCCTAAACTACTCTTCCTTGGCATAGTAGCCACCGGGGCCTAGATGATGGTGGTGTTTGTTCCTCTTCGCCAGCTCGGTGTTACGGGCACTGAGCTCCAATGCCTCCGATGAAGTCTTCTGAGCCACGAGCTCCTCCCATTGACTAGGAGTTATTTTGCCGAACTCGTTGAAGAGAGTTAACCCCTTTTGGATATACTTCGTGTTGAGCTCCGACCTCCAACGTCGGAATGACTCTCCCATCATCCTGAAAGCATTTTTTTACCAGTTCGTGCTTACCCTCCGGAAATCTAAAATTGAGCTTTAGCTGTCTATCTCATAGTGCATTCTTTGTGTTCTCTGGTACCTCTTTACAGTTATGGATTACTGGGTTCAATTTATCTTTTACTAGGGCTCCAATGGTATTACGGAATCGTCCTCTTAATTCCTTTGGCTCAAGGATCTCCCCTGCTGGCCCGACCTCCGTTATCACATAGCATGCCTTATCTGGATATAGATTTCCTTTTCTATCCCCTGGTTTCCTCTTAGGCTTGGTAGTCGTGGTTGTGTCTTGAGGTTGTGGAGCAGAGGCATCGTGATCCGTCTCTGTGGTTGTTGCCTTTGCTCTCCTTTCCTCTACTCTGTCTTGTCCAGCGAGAGTGTTAGCAGAGGGACCTGTATATACGACAGGTCAAAGTGTTAGCAGAGGTAACACAGCCAAAGCTTTAGCAAAATTTATAAGCTAAGGCTTTTTTCCTACCTCCTCGTTCGGGTCAAAATCCTTGTCCAAATCTTCCTCCGTTGACCTCCTTCTGGCTTCACGTGGGAAAGGATCCTCAGGACTTTCATATCCCTCTTTTGAGTCATCATCATCATCATCCTCTTCTTCGCCTTCAACAGCCTCTCCTGCTCCCCCTTCCTCCTCGTCACACTGCTCCTGAGTAAGCATCACTTCTAGATCCTTTTCTACCTCGTTATCGAACTGTTCCTGAGTAAGCTGGTCCTCTAGTGCTTGCTCCTCATAGGTTGGCTGCTCATCATGCTCGGGGCATCAGGCTACACTGTCTGGTGTCCACGACATTATTTCGCGATTTGTTCTAATAGATGTAAGAAACTGTGCTTTAGGTATGTGAGAAGGTATAAGAAATAAAAATGGTCTATAAACCAAAGTAGTCCTATAAAAGAACAATATATAAAAAAAACGAGTAGTAGCAGTAGTAGAGGCTTCAGAAACATGTCAATCATCATTTGATCATGAACTTGGAGCATCAAGGCATCATAACAGAGAAGAGAGAAGGTAATGTAGGGGCGGCTACTAATGATGCCAAGTTCCTCACAAGTTCTTGATCATCAGCTCATATTCCATATAATGTATGGACTTGGACAATTTCATCATCAGCAAAACAAATGAGAGGAGATGAGAGGGGAGATTTGGCAAAAAAAAAGCAGGTGCTGCTTCCAAAACATAGAGGATAGGAAAGGTGACAATAAATAGAGGAGAGGGGAGATTTGGCAAAAAAAAAGCAGGTGCTGCTTCCCAGAAAAAGCAACAGTTGCCATACTGACTTTGCTCAATCACACATGAACATCATATGCTTAATATCTTCCGAACCTGATAAGCAGATCGGACAATCAGAAATAGTAGACAGTAGTAGTAGGGAAGTAGTAGAAGTAGCAAAAAAAAGCAACAGCTGCTTAGGAGAGGAGATGAGTAGAGTGGAGTAGAGGAGAGTAGTAGTAGAAGAGGAGTACAGAGAAGACAGCAAGTACAGAGAAGATTAGTAGCCACTAGCCATAATAGTGTATTTTTAATTTTTACTAAAACTTGAGGATCATCATAATACTGACAAATGACAATGTAAGAAGAATATATATCATTGCAGAGCCATGTGCATATATTAGAACTTTTGTTAGGCAAATTACTGGCAGACAACAGAAAAAGAGCAACCCTACTGAACAAGTTCAAATCAAGTGACCGACCCTACTGAACATAAGTAAAGAGCAAGTAGCACAAGACAACAGAAAAAAAGTGGGAAGAAATCATGTGGTACTGCTGCTTCGACTGCTATTTCACACAGCCAAAGTGGGATACATTTGTTCAAAATGGGATAGACGGGGTGGGTGGGGATCTCCTATTTTTCAATGACATTCACCAAGTTTTAACAATTCCCATATTTGCTTCATTCCGACATAAGAAATGGCTTTATAGGAGTAGGTTTGTTATATTGCACTTTTGCACTGGACAATTAGGTTATGAGATAGGGTACTGAGGGTATGTGTTCTGTTCTTCTCTATAGTACTGAAATATTCAAATAAAAGAATGGAAGATGCTGCAAGATTTTTCTGAAACTATTGCAAAAATGTGTATGGACAACATAGCTTAGTCTGAGTGATAATTAAGATCTTTGGAACTTTGAGTGGAGCTAAAACTGGTTCAGGTGCTGTAAAATCTTGGGCTGACTGCCTATGTGCACATTGACATGAGTTGCTTCTGTGAATATTCATTCAGTGTACTAACACTTAATTTTGTAGTGTTCTGTCATACTTAACAATTAGCATGCATACTGTTTGTCCAAGTAATGCACATGTAGAACACACTACTAAAGAAACAATGCTTATTTAGCATTCCCACAATGGTATTATAGACTTCTTTTTTGGTTGGTAAGGACTCTTAGGACACACTATATTGGAACTGGAAGCAATAAATTTTCATTTTTCTCATTTCCTTTTCATATTGAACTTTACCTAGCTACCTTAGAGCTCCTGTGTGGCTTAATCTAAGCATAAGCTAAAGTTGTGGACAAACTAATGAACGTAAAAAGATGGCCTCAGCTCATATAGCGGAATAATGTGTAGCCTTAGCCACATGATTTCTTCGCCAGTTCATACACTACCACACCTAGGAGTAAGATATTCCCACAAGGTTTTTGGCCTTATGCTGAAAAGCTTTTTTATTTTTTGGGCTATACATCATAAGCACAGAAACTAGCTATTAGCATTATGATATGAGCAACGCAGCACATTGCATCAAATATATAATAAATTCTATTGTTTCTAACTTCACTTTTATATCTCTACAGTCTTGCCCAGTTTGCTCGGCTAGGATTTCGAAGGACTTGTTGGATCATATAACCCTTCAGCATGGCTACCTATTTAAAATATCCTTCTTAGATGATTATATCTTTACAAACAGGTTTTACTAAACAGGGTTTTGCAAAAGTGTCATATATTTCCTTAATGATGTTCACTTGCAGAGACATCACAGAGTACGTAGAGTTACTGGTAGTGGCAACCACAATCTCTCCTATGCAGGGAGAGATCTTCAACTTCAAGAGACCTACTTAAAGGTGCTTCTTGGAAATAGCAGTCGAAGCAGCAGTACCAATGCGTCAAGTACAGTGACTGATTCTTTTGAGCAAGTACATAACATCAGTATGTGATTGGAGGGGAGAGAAAGAAAAGAAAAAAAAAACAGTCAAGAGAGAGGCGGGGCAATTGGGGCTCAGTAGCGCCCAACAGACAGCAGTAGAGGCTCAATTCAACGGCGACCGCCCAAAAATATAAAAACGGTAATTAAGTGGATTTTAGCTAAAATTACACAGTATATATGCTAGTTGTACCTCTATGACACAAGTCTATACACCCATAGGGTAATTAAGTGGACTTCCCTCTAGTTTATTCTAGCTTCACCACCAATAGCAAGCATGATTAAAACATGCACTACACAGCTGAAGCATGCATCCATTCACAAAAAACCATATATATACTGTGGGAATAGTTAGCTAGCGAGATACGAAGTTCATCTTTACCAAAAGGCTTCATTTTGTACTTCAGCACCAGTGTCAGTATATGTTGTCATCATATCAGACTACAACTATTTGAAGTGATAAAAATCGACACAAAATCTCACAGGAGTGCATAGTGGAGCTGATCATCTTAGCGGCAGAGCTAGTTTTGCACAAGAGAGACCAAAGAAACATACAGTATATAATAAACATCCATCATCTATTTATCATGCTGCATCTAATTAAATCAAACATCACAATGAGGAAACAATGCAAGCAGCAAGCTCGATCGTATCTTGCGCTGACATTTGGCACAGCCACACAGTCACAGGCATGCAGTTTGCAGTAGTAGTATATATAATGTAGCAGTAGTTTATATTACCTTCTTCTTAGCAGAGGATTAACTGAACATAAGCAAATCAACCAGGCAACACATATAAGAAGCTTATAACCAGATCCAAGTTCAAATTGCTTAGGGTTTGGGGTGCTCGGCTCCGCAAAGGAAGGAAGGGGAGAGAAGGTAGCGGGCATACCTGGTGGGTGATCGTCGCCGGTAAAGAGGTGGCGAAGTGGGGCGGGTTTCGCCCAGCCGTTGGAGGGGGCGCGCGGGTGCAGAGATGGCACGCGCGGGTGCGCCGCCGGCCGCCGGTGGAGGTGCGCGGAGGCCGCCCATCGGTGGAGGTGCGCGGACGCCACCCGCCATTGGAAACCCTAGTGCGGGGAGGGGCGCGCGGGTGCGGGGAGGGGGCCGCCGGCCGGTCGGAAACCCTAGGTCGGGGAGGAGCAGGCGCGCGGGTGCGGGAAGGGGGCGTGTGGGTGCGGGGAGGGGGCGCGGGCTGGTGTCGGGACAGGTCCGGGAGGCGGCGTCGGCGGGGCAGCCAGACGGCGTCGGAGAAGAAGAGAGCGCCCAACAGGCAACTCCCGTGTGCGGCCTTGAATATATAGTCGGGACGATTTGTAGGGGCGGTTCCTGATCCAACCTGCATTTGTAGGGCGGTTCCTGATCCAACCGCCCCTACAATTTTTTTTTAAATAATTAATTATGTATTTTTTATATCATAAAAACACAAAGTAATATAAAAACAATTGTGTAAATGCACAAATATAATATTTTGTATTATTCTATATATGAAGAAATATATATATAAACAATTGTAGTCAAAACAATATAGAAAACAAAAAAACAAAAATTAAAATTTTGAATTTTAAAACTTCGACTACAATTTTATGACATTAAATGAAATAAAATGAAAATGTTGTAAATATAAAAGTTGTATAACTCATCAACATGTGCAACTTTTATTTTGGTCATCTTGTCATGTGACTTTGTTTGAACGATTTAAATTTTGAAATTCAAATAATTTCAACTTGAAACAATATTTTGAAAGAGTAAATGATTTCAGATGAAAAACTCATGAATACCAAAGTTGTAGAACTCATCAATATGTACAACTTGTATTTTGATCATATTTTCATTTGACCAAATTTGAACAGTTGAAATTTTGAATTTCAATAAATGGCAACTTCAAACAAGATTTTGAAACTTTAAATAATTTCAACAATAAAAGTCGTAAACATAAAAGTTGTTGAACTCATCACTATCTATAACTTTTATTTTGGTCACTTCTTCATGTGACAAAGTATTAGTAAATATTGTTCATAAATTCACATATGACTCATAGTTTCCTGAACTATACGAGAAACATGTTGATTTATGAACAATGTTTAATATCACTTTGTCAGATGAAGAAATGATCAAAATAAAAGTTGTAGATCTTGATGAGTTATACAACTTTGGTATTCATCACTTTTTCAACTGAAATCATTTAATGGTTGAAAATCTCGTTCGAACTTGTCATTTTTTAAATTTGAATTTTTTTTCATTTCATAAAGTGTTAAGTGATTTCATAAAGTTTTAGTAGTAATAGAGTGAATGTTCAAATAGAGTCATCTGGATGTTGCAAAGGGTAGTCTCACACACATGCATAAATGTAGTCTCACACACATACAAAAATATATAGTCTTACACACGTACATAAATATATAGTCTCACACGCATGCATAAATAAAAGTCTTACAAACACACACTTACACAAACACTCCATGTTCAACAACTAGCTAACCCGCTGTAACGACTTTTCCCTTGACACCTTTTCGTTCCCATGGCAATATGTCTTTGGGGAGCTTCTTTTCCACAACACTGATCTTCTTAGAAAAGTCTGTGAATAGCGGTATCTCATCGTAGTTATTATAAGCTTCAACATCATCCATGCCATCAACTCCAATAATGTGATGTTTTTCGGAGGCAACCACGTGCTTTGTCTTCTTCTTCGGGGGGGGGGGTTACTTTGTGGGTCAGACATATAGAAAACTTGTGCGACACGTGAAGCGAGCACACAAGGGTCATCTTGGTAGCCTACATTCTTGAGGTCCAGGACTCTCAATCCGATCTTGTTTAGTTGGTGTTGTTTGATCCAGTGGCATCGAAACAGGGCCACCGTTATATCCCTTCCATAGTCAAGTTCACATATCTCTTTAATGATGCCAAAGTATTGGATCTTTCGCCCCAATCCATCGAGAGTCTCTATTCGAACGCCGCTGTTTTGGTTCACGTATTTACTATCCTTTGCGTGGGTATAGTACGTATACCCATTGATGTCATAAACATTCCAAGATGTCACCTGTCTCGATGGCCCCTCTGCCAACCTACCGATGGTAATAGAGTCTGTGGTTTCTCCAGGCGGTATGTTTTGGTCCTTCAACCATGTAGTTAGTCATTGCTTGTGTTGTTTCATGACCCAATCATTCGAACGACCATTTCTCTCCGCCATAATGATAGCCAAGTGTTCATCAATGTACGGTTGCATCAGTTGTGTACTCTGCAAGACACTATAATGCGCCCGACTCACCTCTTTGTAATCATGGTCGATGAACACTTTTCTACCACTGGTGCCCTTCCCAGCCAGCCTACCCTTATGATGAGAATCGGGTTTACCAATCCCTTTCTGTACTTTTAGGTACTCTTGACAGCACTCGACAACTTTTTCAATACTGTAACCCTCTATCATGGAGCCCTCTGGGTATGCTCGATTATGCACGTATCGACTTAGAACCGACATGAACCGCTCGTAGGACCACATTTCATGCAAGTAGCAAGGGCCCAACGCCTGTATCTGATGAACCATGTGAATCATGAGATGTGGCATTATATCAAAAAAAGCAGGAGGTAAACACATCTCCAGTTGGTTTTGTGTCTCCACTACAAATTCATGTAGGTCACTCAGCTCTTGCTTGCCAATCGTCTTCTGTGAGATCTTCGAAAAGAAGTAGCACATGCGGGTGATGGCCATTTTCAAGAACTTTGGCTTTATAGCCCTGATTGCAATAGGTAAAAACACTATCAGCATCACATGGCAATCGTGAGCCTTGCAGTGTGTTATTGACAAGTCCTTCATCGACACTAGCTTCTTAACATTTGCTGAAAACCCAGTCGGGACTTTGATCCCTCTCAGGAAAGTCCATATAGCTCTCTTCTGTGCTTTCAGACCATCCTTTGACTTGCCTATGTCCATCAAGGTAGCAATGAGACTCTCAAAGACATTGTTCTGCACGTGCATAGCATCATTAGCATGGGGGACCTCCAAGTCTGGCCAATAAGGCAGATACTGAAAGAAGATTGATTGTTTCTTGAAAGGTACGCCTTCGACAGGAGGTGTGCTTCTATCTCTGTTCGTCCCATCCGGATTCTTCTTTCCATAGACAATGCGTATGTTTTTTACCATTATGTATACGTGTTCTCCGTTATGACGTCTCTCCGGAGGGGGTTCAATCTCTGGGTGTTGTCATAAAATCTAAAGAACAATTTGCTGTGGTACTTGTGACTTGTCTTTAAGAAGCATCGATTCCTTAGGTAAACTATCTTCTTGGATGCATCCAGGTACACCCATATAGTACCATCCAAGCAAACCAAGCATCCCGTCTTTCCTTTGATCTGTCCAGACAAAGCAAACAGCGCTGGGTAATCATTGGTAGTAACAAATATTATTGCTCTATATATGAAGTCCTCCTTTCGGAACACATCGTACATCTGCTCCCCATGCCTCCATAGCCTCTCCATTTCTTGCATCAAAGGCTCGAGGAACACGTCTATATCAGTGCTTGGTTGTTTAGGGCCAGAAATAAGAAGAGTGAGGAGAAGGTACTTTCTCTTCTGACACAACCATGTTGGGATGTTGTACGTGGTCAAGATCACTGGCCATGTGCTGTGGTCGCTCATCCTCTCATTGAAGGGATTCATTCCATCGGTGCTCAAGCCAAACCGTATATTTCTTAGGTCATCGCTGAATTCTTTGTGCTTCTCATCAAACCTTTGCCACTGACTACAATCAGCCAGGTGTGCAATCTTATCACCATCCACCTTGCGCTCATCATCCCACCATGTCATGAGTGTGGCTTTTTTAGGGTTTAGGAAGATACGTCTCAAGCGGTTGGTCACTGGCAGGTACCACATTACCAAGACAGAAATTCTTCTCTGCTTTGCATCGTTGCCTAATGGAGTGTCCTCTAGGGGCTGAGATTCTTGTACCACCTTTTTTGTACCCTTCTTATTCTTCTTTTTCCTGTGAAGGCTTCGTCCCCACTATAAAGGTCATTGTTCTTGTATCGGCTGGTCCCACACCGGGGACATTTATCTAGTGACTTGAACGTTTCGCCACGAAAAAGTATATAGTGGTTGGAGCATGCATGGATTTTTTCAACCCCCATTGTCAATGGACTTATGACTTTCTTCGCTTGGTATGTGTTGGCGGGAACTGAGTTTGGTTGTGGCAGCACCCATGACAAGAGATGCAATAGATCATTGAAACTACAGTCTGACCAGCCGTACTTAGCCTTCAGGATGAGCAGCTCAAGCACAAAACGTAGCAATGTCCAATGTGTCGGACAACCCTTTTCAACACCATACACAGTCTCCTTCGATGCTTTTGTCACCCTTTCCAAATTTTCTAGACCTTTCAGGCTATTTAGTAAAATCTCTGGTTTAAGGGCTCGAATCATGTCGTCTAAATTATCTTCATCCCTGACACGTGCTCCACCATCATTATTGGCACCACCTTCGTCGTTACCATCCCAACCACCAGCATCACCACCTTGTTCATTGCCAACCTCGAAATATATTCGTGCATCAAGCTCTACTGGATATTGGGACAAGGATTCTATGGTTTCGTCGTCGTATTCGTCCTCATCCTCGTCATTAACAATAACCGTTTCACCATGATGAATCCACACTGTGTAGTCCTCAACAAATCCTCGCATAATCAAATATGATCTGATGATAGTCACATCTGTCCATGCCATACGGTTCTTGCAATCTTTACATGGGCAAATAATTGTATCCTTATTTTCTTTCAATGTCGTTGCATGCTTCTTTGTGGCTTCAATAAATTTATCCACCTCTTCACGGAAACCTGCCTTGAACCTTAATGAACCATACATCCAAGAGTTCCTGTACTCCATCTTTTACAATAACAACAAAACAAACATTAAAGGACTACTTATTCAGATATATATAAAAATGAAACAAATTAATAATTACTTGAGAATAATTGTATATACTTCAGATATATATGAATATAAATCTAATATAATTATATGAAGCATACAAACACACCGTGGTAAAGAAAAATTAATTAATGGCCCCTTTATCCATAAATAATTAAAATACATATTTATTGATTACAATAAACAATTTCAAAGACAACAATTAGCAACAATTATACTTTACCCAATATCTTTCATACAAACCCTAGCCTAATTTTATCAAACATAAATTTACAAAAACAAAATTAATAAAAAAACTAAACCCTAGATCTAGATCCACATGCACATGAAACATCCATAAAACTAACTAATTGTTCACTAAAATCAAGAAACATAGACCAAATAAGGATATGATCTTGTTCCCCTCCCTAATTTACCCTAGTACATTTAAAACTTGGGTCTAATTTGCTTCATAAATAGCTCAAGCACCATAGAAGAGAGAAAAAACAAAACTCTAATTACTCACTAACCAACCATTAAAACTTCAAAAAAGTATGGAATAGCATTTTCTTACCTTCTACAACCTCTCCACCAAAGGATTTGAGATCAAAACCTTCACCCCTTAGTAGAGCAATTTTTGGGAGGTGCCCAAGGCCTCCCCACCTTTCTTTCACGGGTTGAAGTGAGTGACCCGAGAAGGAAGAAGATGCTGCAGTTGTTTTATATGTGGGTCATTTGTAGGGGCGGCTGGTGATTGAGCCGCCCCTACAAATCAGACTCTATTTGTAGGGGCGGCTCGTATTACCAGCCGCCCCTGCTGTTCTATTTGTAGGGGTGGCTGGTGTCTGGGCACCCGAGCACGCCACTGTAGAGGCGGCTCCATCACTAGCCGACCCTACAAAAAATTCAAACCGTTGCTAAAAATTGTTTTTTACGTAGTGTAAGATGGTTTAAGATTGAATTTGTTACACTTTGACCTAAGTAGGCCATATGATCAGATTTTGATCTTTTCCCATTTGTGCTGTGAAATCATGAGAGTATATTTAGATTCTGCACTAACCCTATGTAGATTGTCCTTAAACTAGCATACTAGCTGGGTTGATAACCATCTACTATGCCAATTGCCAGATATAACTGTATCCGAGTTTTCATGCTATAGATTATTCATTGTGTTCTTTCGTGAAGCCATCTAAACCTGTACCCGCTGCTGCTAAGTCTTCTGTATTTCTTAATTACTTCTTTATTTCAATTCATGACAGTTTGTTGCTGATAAAGTTGCATATGCACTCACCCAAGGTCTCAAGGTAATTGCTCTCATTGGTGAGACCCTTGAGCAGAGAGAGGCAGGAACGACAATGGATGTTGTTGCTGCACAAACAAAGGCTATTGCTGGAAACTTTTACTTGCTGTTATATTATTTAAGCAGATTATATGGAACAACAATTTGCTACTCTGCTTTCCGACCATTTTTATGTTTTTGGCTGATTCCTGCTTCTGTTCAATATAGGTTTTAGGATGCAAATGCTCTTTCATTCTTTTTTTACATTAAATAGTAAAAATCATGGTGGCCGGGTTGATGTCTTTTTTTTTTGTGAATCAGACACAAAAATAAATCTGAAAGCTATTGCCATTTTAAAAAAGAACTACATTAAACACGATACAAATATTAAAATATTTCAATGTTTTTTTTATACCTAAGTAAGCACAAATTTTTAATACTTCAATCCTTTTTAGCTTCATCTGTTCATTCTGGCTGCTGCTTTAAATTTTATGCCTTCATGCAAAAATGAAGGACTTATGAATTTCTCCAATTCACTGTTTACTGCCTCTCCTTTTGTTTCCCAGAAAAAAATATCAGATTGGACAAATGTTGTGTTGGCATATGAACCAGTTTGGGCTATTGGTGTGTCTCACAGTATTCTTGATTGACATATTGATATGAATGTTCTTAATTCTGTTTTGTATAACATTTGAGATGTGCATGGTATTGTAGGTTCATGATGGTCTGAGAAAGTGGCTCCACTCCAATGTTAGCCCAGCAGTTGATGAATCGACCAGGATAATTTATGGAGGTAGTACTACTGCCAATATTTTTAATTGTGTTGCATCCCAATTGCTCTACAATATGTTGAAAGTCGTCTTACGACTTGGTTGTGGAGCCGGGAAACTAAGCATAACCTATTTTTCTTTAGAATGTCTCTAATGGTTGCATACACAGTTCACAATTAGCTTATCATTGCTCTGAACTTGGGCTTGCCACTTTGTATTACAACCTCTTGTGTTCTCTCTCCAGGGTCTGTTAATGGAGCTAACTGCAAAGAACTTGCAGCTCAACCAGATGTTGATGGGTTCCTTGTTGGTGGAGCCTCATTGAAGGTATGATCCTTGTGTCATCCTCATGAAAATATATATAATTGAGTCCTTTTCTGGTCCATTAGAAACTACCAGGAGGTACAAACATTTGTAACTTCAATTTTAGTACCTAGTTACTGGAAAATACTAGCACAGGCACCAAAATTTGGTACGACTATTGTAATAACTAATCAGTGGTACCTCTTAGTATGTTTTTTGGACCATAAAGATGCTCTATACAATGATATCCATGTAGTCAACTTAAACAAAACAATGCATGAGCAGAGCTATTCTTGTGGAGTCTGACATCTATTTTTCATTTTTTTACAGCCTGAGTTCGTGGACATCATCAAGTCTGCCACTGTCAAATCTTCATCTGCCTAGTGTTTTGACTTTGAATGCACCCGGATGCTTGTAGTACAGAATGCTGCAGAACTTTTAAAGTTATTTCCATTTTACCATCTTGTTTTGCTATTCTAGCTCCAGTGCATCGTTTGTGTATCATGCCAAATTGCCAATTCTCATCTGATGCGTATGTGCACAGAGTAATCAGTTACCTGTATCACCTTTATGTACCCTTGGAAGTGCACAATCAAACCGTGCTATTCTAATCTGTTTTATCATGGTTACTTGAATTTATAGAGTGTTTGGTTTGAGGATAAGGTAATGCATCATGAATCAATTTCTTAAATTTGGTGGAATGATTTTATTTCTTATACTAGTATTAATTATTAACTTATGGGGAATGATGTGATGATGCATCAGATATACTGCAAAACAAAGAAAGGTGAGGAGTGAGAAGATGGAACTACTTTATTCCTCAAACCCAGTGGCTTGTTTGCTCCATCACTCTACTTTCTGTTGCTTGCCTAAGCGATTGGTCGTGGTTCCGTATGTTACAATAGTTAGAAAAAAAAAAAGGGCTTGAATTTGAAGCAGCGTACAGTTGTTCGAATATGCAACCTGCTACACTTTCCATGACGTGTTTTATTTTTGTCCTAACTTTGTACAAAATTATTGTTCGTCCTAAGTTTGTTAAAAAAATTAAGGAAAAAGCGTAACAACATTTCCAGCACCAAAGAAGTATACCATGTAAAAGTATGCATACCATGTAATCATGGTAAGTTTAACAAAACTAATTTGGTGACAAAGATGTTGGTTTTTTTTAGAAGTTTAGCTAAATGTAAGAAGTTTGACTATAGACAGAGCACTACCTGATTGGCCATTTGTGTTAATCCTGCCCTATCCCAGTCATATTCTAGGGTGTCTTAGCCGGTCTCGGTGGAAATTTCATGGCCCAATTTCATAGTCGCATCACCTTTCTAGCTTCAATTGGATAGCTGAGCGATATTTGTCAAGCATCTGTCTGCTTGTTAGCTCTGCATAGCTACTCTAGTGACTATACCTGATACGATATCTATATACCTAAAAAGACTCTAAAGTCATCATCTATCCGGTGATACCAACAAATCTTGATCCCTACTCACGTGTCCACGTCCGATACGAATTGTGCTCTACTCGGAGCTCATACGTGCATGTCCTACCGTGTTCCCGTACGAAGACTGGAACCACATTCGCATCCGATACGAAGTCTTCGGAGCTCACGCGTCTGCGCTTGACTACTAAGATTATAAATTCAAAAAATTGTGACCCCGGTGCAACGCACGGGCCTAGTACAATTAATAAATAACAAGCCGTGAATATAGATTAGAAACATGAATAAAGTCAGCACGCAGGCAGTTTCATTCTCATCGGTTGGATCTAAAATAAAGCATTTTGAATTTGGCAATGGCGTACATTTGATGCTTATATATATCTGCATTTCTTTACCATCTTATTGATAAACCAATAGGGTTGAGATGATCAGTATCAATCAGGCTGAGGTAAATGCAGACGCCACTCCGGCAAATCTTAAGTAGAGATGACTAGAGACTATGACCGAGCAGTCTTAAACGGAATCTCCATATAGGGAAATAAAGCAAAACTAGTCCATGGTTAGATTTGAACAGAGGATTGTTGCTTCTCAGATGTCACTCCCTACCACTGCACCTTATACATGTTTGTGATAGTTGTGAAGTAGTTTTGTTATTAAATACATCAGATCATTTTAAGCCCAATAAAAAAGCATCCAACCACCACAAGAATAAACATTCTATACTAAAATATACCATAGGAAATTTCAGGAAACATGGAAAAAATGCTAACGGGAAACATCACAAAATACATCATATAGGACATCACATGTATACTACGTGAACATCACAAAAAACATCATAAAACATCGCATGTATTCTACGTGAACATCACATGTATACTGCGTGAATATTATAAAGTACATATAGAACATCACATGTATATATACTACGTGAGCATGACAAAATAAATCATAGAACATTACAAAGTATATCATAGAACATCACATGTATACTACGTGACCATCACAAAATACATCATAGAACATTGCATGTATATTACGTGAATATCACATGTATATTACGTGTACATTACAAAATACATCATTGAACATCACATTTATACTGCGTGTACATGACAAAATCAATCATAGAACATCACAAAATATATCATAAAACATCACCAGTATACTACGTAAACATCACGTGTATTTGGAAAATAAAAAGAGTAAAAGATAAAATTATTAAAGTAATTAATTACAGTAAAGTAACAAAAAATACAAAAAAAAATTAAATAAAGATAAAAATTTTAAAAAGTGAAAAATAGAATAAAAAGCCAGATAATACTGGGAAAAGAAAAAATAAAAAAGAATTCAACGAAAGAAAAGAAAAAAAGAAAAGAAAAGAAAAACTCACAAAGGAAATAAAAGAAAAAAAATAAAAAGGAGAATAAAATAACATGAAAATAAGGAAAAATAATTAATTAGAGAAGAAGAAAAATGAATAAAAGAAAGACAAAAAATAAATAAAATGATTAGAAGAATAAAATAACATAAAAAGAAAAAGGAAAAGCAAAAAGAAATGAACGAAAAAGTATAAAGAAACAAAAAAAAAGAAAATGAAGTACGCAGTACAAGGAAAAAAGGTACAGGAAAATAAAAAACTACATAACTGGAACGTAACTGTCATCAGCATGCGCTCCACGTCCGACAGGCGCTCCGTTCCTGAGCTGCTGCATGGGCCATGCTCCCATAAGCCACTGCTTAGCTATTGCATAAACAAATTCAAATGGAAAATGTTTCATTTAGGAAGTTTTAGATCTCATTAAGATCTACAACTTTGCTTTTGATCGTTTTCTCATCCGAGGTCATTTGAGAAATTCAAAAAAATATGAATTCTAAAATCATTAATCTTAAAACATAATTACCAGGGCCAAAATGGTTTTGTCGGTGTTTTGTCACCAGATGAGTGAATTTATACATGTGTCGCGCTGCTCTAGAAAGACGATGGCAGCATCGAAAGACATAAGGAATTATATTGGTTCAGGCCGGAGCCCTGCGTCCAGTCTCAGAGATAGTTCGAGTGTGTGTTTCTCGGTTGAATGCTCTAAAGTTCTTACAATAGGGTATGCAAGAAGGAAGAAAGAGATAGGAGAGTAGAGGGGGACTACCCGAATGAAGTCTTAGAGTCCGTCCCTTTAGAAGGGAGCCCTGGTTGCACTTATATAGAGTCCGAGGCCAAATTACATACACTAAGATAGGTTCTCCCGACCGAATAGTCATGAGCCCGAGGGAGGAAAAACTAGCTAACTTGGCTTGCAAGGAAGACCATCTTGTCTTGGCGTCAGTGCACGTCCGAACGTGGTTGTCGTCATGGTCTTATACCCACGTCGCAGCATGGTGTGGTGTGATGCTATTGTTGTAGGGTCAAAATGACGGACTAGAGGGTGGTAAATAGTTCTTTCTAAAATTAATCATGCTGGCTAACCGAAATAAATACAGAATTAAAACTATCGGTCTAGCCAAGACTACACCCCTCTATCTAAGTTCTCAAGCACTTTATAAAGATCCTAATTAGGCAACAAAGGTGCTGAGTGTTGGCATTTTCTAGCATCACTCTTTACTAAGTTGTCATCCCTAACAATGATGCCAGAAATATGTTATTGGTATTTATTGAGAACACTTGTAAATTTATATATATTAAGTATCCGCAAGCACACAGATAATATATCATTGTAGCATTTCACCCGAAAGTATACCAGATATCGTTATTTATATTTTATCCATAGGGAGGAGCGATGGGGTGGCTAGAGATATTGATAAATATGTATACTTATGATAAGACCATTAACTGTCATGCTATAGTAGGGGTAAGTCAAATGATAAATATAAGGCATAAGTAGTATTCCAGAGATAGAAATAGATACTCATAAATGTAGTAAGGCTAGACAGGAGATTAGTTAAGAGCAAAAGATTTCTAAGTCATTCCTTATTTACTAAGTCTTTTGTACACCTAAGTATATACACTCTCATCTATAGCATAATTAACTCTGTATCTATGCAAAGGAACATTACTAAGGAAGATCAAGAATAGAGCTTGACTCCCTTCGCAACTGGGTTCTACTTGTTCTACAAACGGGAAGTGGACTACAAAGGACTCAACGAGAATGTCACACTCGCGATCTACCACATGACCCGAAGTGTAGAGTGCATCCGCAAGTAAACAATATTTAAGCACCACGCTTACATAATGTTGACCACTTAACTCACTCGAGTATTGAGTTAAGCGCTTTGCGAACATATACATAAACTCATCATCAACCATGACTATATCAAGCATATAACTAGAGAAAACTTGGAACATAATAAATAGCAATATAGTATTGAAGTAGCAAAAAGTCATAAATATAGAGGGATACAATGGCTTTACCAGCCTTCAGACGGTGAATTCAGAATCCTGAACAATAGTCCAACTCTACTTAAATCTTGCTAGCTAGCCTATACTAAAACTTTAAAGAATTAGAGCTCTATTCTCTTCTCTCTGGAAACCCTAATTTCTGATCTGATCTTGACTTATGATCGAATACTTCAAGGAGGGGGGTAGGGGCTGGTATATATAGTCTAGAGCGTCAATTCTGAGCCCTCGGATCAAACCGACTTGAATAAACGGCATAGATGCAATCTAGCAGGCGGTGGAGGAACCAACATCAAAGCGGGGGCTGACACGTGGGCCTAGGGGCCGGCCGGCCAGCAGGTGGGGCCTACCGGCATCCTCTTGTGCCTCGCTTCGGTGGAGTGCCTTCTAGAACATTCTGATGATATTTTCGTTGTGGATAATTGTGATTTAATTTGACGATTTGATCCACCTTGATGGTTTTCTGAATAAACCCTGCTGAAAACACAGATTCACCAAAACTCGTAAAAATTGTGAGTCTAAACCCCTAAGTCTATGTTGGTAATCATTTTCATGCAT